CTTGTACAGTGGTTGCACTGTATTAAGGGTTTAGGGTTTAGGGGTTTTGGGTTCAGTGGTTGAGGGGTTTTGGGGGTTAGGGTTTACGGTTCAGCTTAGATGGAATCTAGAGTATTGTTCCCACTTGAGTTTGTGTGACATCATTGGGATAATATGTAACCCCCCTAATTACCCTAAAATTCCCACTGAACCCCTTTTTTCCCCTTTAATACCCCTATAGACTCCCTAGACCTCTGAAGAACCCTAAGGCTCCCATAGAATCCTTATATACCCCCCCTTATACCCCCATAGCTCCCATAGAACCCCTATCTACCCCCATTAATACTCTAAATACTTCTAAACGTTAAACCCTAAACCCGAAACCCTTCCGCATGGAGGGATGTGAGAGTTTGAGCTAGCCATCCAAGCTGGTCTGTTTTCTATTAGGTCCGCGGATTCTGGAATGGAATTCTTCTCTGCCGCTGTGCACAGTGTACCTCCTGCACATTTTGTGCTTTCTGAACTACCTTCGGGCATTTGGAAACAGGAGCTGCAAAAAAAAGACGAAACCCTAAGCCCTGAATATCGAAACCCTAAGCCCTGAATATCCTAAGCCCTAAACCCTCCCTAAATGAGTAATCTGTGATATAGCTCACTGCCAGGCCACCTTTGCAGGATGGGCCAGGCACGCTGAGAGTTGCAGGCTGATGAAACTGTGCCCTGGGCTTTCATTTAGGGGGTTTTAGGGGGCTTAGGGGTTCAGGGTTTTAGGGGGCTTTAGGGGTTCAGGGTTTTAGGGGGCTTTAGGGTTTGGGGGCTTAGGGGTTTAGGGGGTTTAGGGTTATATGAGAGGGTATAATGGAAGAGAGAATGGAAACTAATTAGTATAGTACATCGGGGGCTGCTGGGATATGATAGGGATTAAGGGAATATGATCCGTGTACGATCCCTTTTTTCTATATACCCGTATTCCCTACTAACTCCCAGTAAGATGAAGCCCTGAGCTCTCTACTGATTTGTTCGTTAAGAAACAACAGTCTGATTTCATCATATGATTCCTGTAGAGCCCACCTGATAATCCTATAATTCCTATAGGCCCCCTCTATACCCTCTGGTAACCACAGGTACCGGAGCTGGGCGGATGTGCATTGGCTGCGCTCCCGGCTGGGTGCGGCCTGGCAGGCAACGGGGGCGTTTGGACTTCCGGCCTGCTCGTTTTTGTCACAGCGCGCAGCGTGCTGCGCAGTGCGGAGGCTTGGGTGCAGTGGCTCCACAAGCGAGGAAAGGCGCAGTTCTCAGCACCTCTCGAATCCACACATTTGCGACCTGCCCAAGTGCGTCGCACGTCGCAGTCAGGTGGTGGCCATGCGCAGTGGCCCGCAGCTGCTGGCCGCCTGGCGCTGGCTGCGAGTTCATGCTGCTGCACGCTCCGGTCAGAGGGGGAGGCGCGAGCCCCACATCCCTGCGTGCCTGCCTTCCGCATTTTGCGCCTGGCGGTGCCCTCAGGCCAAGCATTCCGCACGGCGTGCCCGGTGCCGACGCCGCCGCATGGTAAGGGACCTGGTTCAGGAAAGGGGGTGTCAAGGTCTGATCTTACCTTCAGCTCTATTGCCGCGCCGGCACTTGAGACATGGCAAGGTGTGACGTAGGGTACCCTTATAGGGGTTAATAACGGGATATATGTGGAGAATGGAAAAGACAACGGAAACTGCTATAGTATATTGGGGGAATATTGGGCGAATGGAAAATAAAATGGAAACTAATATTGAGGGTTTAGGGTTTAGGGTGTAGTCGTGCTGCACTCAGGCAGCGCGCAGCCTGCGAGCTGCTCCTGACGCATGCGCCCTTTGACATCCACCCACACCACATGCAGGCGCAGGGTCTGGAGGTTTCCCAAAATTAGGGGTACCATTTAAAGGGTGGCAAGATAGGGGTTTGGTAGGGATATATAGGGGGGTACATGGGGGTTGCCATTTGAGGGTCCCTATAATAAGGCTTAAAGTATTTTGGGGTCTATATTCGGGTCCCCTTATTGAGGGAAACTACCGCTTTTGTGCTGACAATTGCCTCCGCGTGTGAAGGATCTGTATAACAGTAGATTATACCCTATATTATACTATAGTAGTTTCCATTTTCTTTTCCATTATCCCTAGATGACCCCATATTGCCCTATATTACCCCAATATGAAGTACCAGGTCATGCGACCTCAAGTGCTGGCGACTTTCACCCACGCCTTGCTGAAGAAGATGGTTGCCGTCTGGGTTCTGGAGGTGCAGCAGAGTCAAGGGGTTCAGGGTTTAGGGTTAAGGTTTTAGGGTTTAGGGTTCAGGGTTGCTTCTCAGCGCAGGTCCTCGAGATCCGCAGCATTCTTCGAGACACAGCAACACGCTTTTCTCGCAGATGGCTGCTGGCTTGGAAGGCCCATGCTTTAACTTACCACATTGGGGTTATGTTGGGATTACATTGGGGTTATATTGGGGTTATATTCCACAACAGGAGCTTGGAAACCTGTATCAGTTACGTCTGAAAACGACAATCTTGGCAGGCAGCAGCGGCAAAGCGCAGGAAACTGCGCAGTCTTCAGCAAGCAGCGACTGGCTAAGAATGCTGGAATTTCACCATGGTCATGTATACCTAAACACCCAAGAGGCCCAAGAGTATGTAGAATATTGGGGCTATTACCCTTCTCACCTTTGGGGTCCAGTTAGCCTATGCTCTACACATGGAGATCCTTGTAAACCGTTAAAGGTGCACCTGTTTGATGCCAAAACCTCTGGTTCAGTTCAGCTTCTGTAGTGTAACCAGATCAGCAGCCATGCCTGGGTTATTGTTAAGGAACTTTAATCCATTCAGGTATGTATGGGTTTAGGGTTTAGGGTTTAGAGTAGTCTCCCTAAGTAAGGGTACCCAAATATAGACCCCAATATATTATAGGATCTCCTAAAAAATACACGTTATTTTGGGAAACCCCCATGTACCCATTTTATGGTAACCGGATTTGAGTAGTATTTTATTTGGGGATACTATGGTACCCAAAATAGAATAAGACTCTATCCTCCGTTTCCTCCTTTTGGGGTATAGTATTCTATATACGGAATATAATCTTGCTAGGTTCAACCACCAAAAAAAACACTACTCATTTGAGTTTCTTAACAGGCAGCCAGATTTATAATCTAAACTCCTACTATCCCCCTTAATAACCCCTATAGTAGTCCCCTATATAACCCCCTTTAAAGGAGTTTAGACTATAGCTCATTGATCGATAGCTTTGTTTCAACTGAACACTAACTCCTAAACCCCAAACCCTAAACCATCCCCCTAAACCCTAAACCCTAAACCCTGATTCCTAAGTCCTAAACCCTAAACCATATGGAACTAGCGGTAGCTTTGTTTCAACTTAAGGTCAGAGCCTTTCGGAGCCGCCGGGCCTGCCGGAGAGCGCTTCTGCAGTGGAGGTGGAGGTCAGCCCTTTCGGATTCGGGGCTTAGGGGCTTAGGGCTTTAGGGGTTTAGGGGTTTAGGGTTTAGGGGTTTAGGGTTTAGGGGTTTATGGGTTTATGCAAGCTGTCCGATGACCATCCAGGCGAGAAGCACGCCAAGATTCTTAGGGCGAACTCAAGGTTTATGGGTTTAGGGGCTTAGGGGCTTAGGGGTTTAGGGTTTATGGTTTAGGGGTTTAGGGGCTTAGGGGCTTAGGGGTTTAGGGTTTAGGGTTTATGGGTTTAGGGTACAAGGTTGGACCCTCTTTTGCAAAGGCTCACCCCCGTCCCCCTGCAACAAATGACCCAGTCTCTTTAAGGTTCAGCCACCCCCTAAACTTGCCGCGCAGTGAGAAATGTGCAAGGGCCCTTCAGAATCGATGTAAGTGATGTTGATGCAAGCTTTTGAGTAAGTAGTAAAAACATTCTAAATTAGGGAGTAACGTTTGCCATTTGTTAATTTCGGGCCTCGGAAAAATTTATTATTCTGTCGCCCCAAATACCCGATCCTGAATAATGTGCCTCGAACATCTTATTGTTCCGACCCCCTCTGCAAAGCGGGTCCAACATCAGGGTTTTAGTCAAGAGTAGCAAGCTGATGGGGATACCATAGTCACGGGTTACATCCTCCTTTCGGGTATAGAAGAGTATACCTGTAAAACTGTAGGCAGAACATATAAGCAACTGTATAATTAGGTAGTTAGGGTCACAAGTATTCTGGCTTTCAATCGCCACAGTAAACCGCTAAACCCTACATGACCCTGGTGTTCATCTTGTTTTCCAATCATATTATATGGGAAATATTGATAATAGCTCATGATATCGAAAGATCGCGTCAGCCAAGCAAGCCCCCCAGTCTTACAAGCCACGGTCTTGGCGCTTCCGTCTTTAATCCCACTAGTTCTAAGGGTTTGGGAATTGAGGGCATGCGGCATTTGTGCTTTTAAGAGTTCAAGGCTTGAAACATGTTTTGACGAAAGCTGGCGGGCGTTGGCAAACAGAATGGGATTTCCGCGGGGAGATCATTCTGTCATGAAGTAATTTTGGACAACACTCATATGAAGGCCAAAACATACAATTAGGTCTTTTTCAAATATTGGTATCCAAGTTGATACCACAAGTTGACTCACGTGTGAAAATAGGCTCCGCGAAAAAAGGATTACACTTTTTCGCCACAGTCGGCCAAATCCCAGAAAAAACCGCCGCATGGGCCATTCTCCATTATTTGGAGATGTAGCCTGAAGCCTCACTAACTCTCATGCTGTATAGAATCCCTGCCCCCTTATCACACGACATAGACCCCTCCTGAACCTCAAGCCCCTACACCCTAAACCCACACCCCAATGCCCGAAACCCAAAACCTGCAATCCCAAAATCCAAAAGCTCTAAAACTCCAAAATCCTACTCCTTTCACCCTTCTCCCTAAACCCCCAAAACCCCCAGAACCCCAATTCAGGTGGGCGAAGCAAGCCCTTGTCTTCCAGAGAGCTCGCGACTTGTCGGCTGCAAGCTATCAGCGAAGGCGCCGGAGGCTCCCAGAGGGGATCTAAATTGCCCAATGTGGGGTGGCTCAGAGTTCAGGGGCTTAGGGCTTTAGGGCTTAGGGGTCCAGATAGCTTGATGTAGGTAATATTTTGAATTCAGGCATTATTTGTATACTTGGAGGATCCCTAGGGCAACCTGGCCCTCCGTAAGACCGGACCGGAATCCACATTAGAAATTTGTAGGTAGGGAAACATGCAGGGTACAGACACACAGTATTTTGTAGTACCTTCAAGTTTCGTTCATACAGCGCACCCTTGTTTTGAACTATGCCTAGCTGAACCTAGGGAAACGGAAACCAACAATCTTGCAAGGGCCTTGGATGCTTGGCTGATGGCCCGGCACTGTGAGGCGCAGCACCTGCTCACGTGTTGGTGTAAATACGCTATTTGTATACCCAAAGTACTAGCTGCCACCTCATACTTGGTTGTTAAGAATAGCCAACCCTTTGGGGACCTGAGGTGGGCGGAGATTGCATACGCAAGGGCATTCCCTAGAAGTTTTATGTACAGGCGTGACAAGCGGGCCCTCATTGAGGAACGTGCGCCAATTCAGAAACTTCCCAGTCTGTATGCGCCAAATTCCGCTGGCTTTTCAAGAACGGCCTTCATTGTTTATTGTTAAGGTGGCGTGTCGGCTGCCAACTGTGCGGCCGCTGCTGCGATTTCGATGATCAGACACAATCAATTCACAGAGCGCTAGGGGTCCAAGTACCTAATAACTGCATATCCTATACTTCCCAACACCTAAACAATAAAGACTTTCTATTACCCAGATCCCCAGTACATACATATTGAAGGGCACTTGGGCCGTTAGGAGAGAAGGACTATTGTACTGTACTGTCCATGGAGGTTGCTCTACTGCCTTTCAAGGGTTTGTTGCACCAGGAACGATGCAAATGCTCCTTCCTCGCCGCCGCCAGGCGTTCGCACGGCGGGCGCGGCGGCAGCGTCTGAACGCCCATTTCCAGGCCGAAACTGCTTGGAAACTGCTTTGAGCTGTTTAGTTGGCTTTGAGATCAGGCGTGGGTGGCCCAGTGGCACGAAGATCGCCAGGTGAGATCCGGCTTCCACGAAGTCTGTTTTTGACGCAGAGAGGGACCTTCTTGGAACTTGCAGGAGGCTGCCTTGCTCAAGCTCTCCGCCCTCTGCCTGCGGAAGCGGAGCCTGGAGCCCTGTGCGATCAAAGAGTGCACTGTGTTGGCTCGTGTGCAAAGGTCTGCAGAGCGGGCTGCGGGCCCTCTGGTCACAGGCCCAATGGCAAGCCACAAGACGCACGACTTTTGCACACATGGGTACAGTAGTTCCGAAAATTAGGGTCCCCTTTTGGTACCCCTAAATATTCGGTGCCGTACTATAATACATAATCAAAAGGAGCCCCATTATTTTCAGAACAACCCATGTGAAATGATGTTGCAGGTCCGCCGATGTGCAGCAAGGCGCGCACGCCACAAGGCCGGAGGAACAGGTTTTCCAGTGCAAAGTAGTTGCAGTCTCATCTTGCCTGGTGCGGTCATGCCAGTCATGCCAAGTTCTCCTCCAGCAGGAAGCGCAAAGATCGCAGTCCAGCGGAACGTTTGCCCACCCTGTTCTCGTGTACAAATCCTTTCCAGTAGTTCAAGAACAAACTTCCTTGTAACTTTGTAGGAGGATTCAGGGCATGTCAAGTTTTTACCTGACCCGGCAGTCTGCCGAAGAAGTCAGGGCGTTCGAAAGTGCGGGGTTCGATCCCGCAAGTTGAGTTTTTTTCTAAAATCTGGGGTAGTACTGGGAAGAACTTTCAACTATTCATCCCTGCGTAATGCTTACAATACTATAGCAGTTAAACCTTTAAAGGGCCCCTTAACCCTAAGCAGCTGCGTCAACCGTATTTTCCATTATTCTTTGTTCCCCTATCCCTAAAACCCTATAGAACATAAGTGTTTGCAGGAAACCATAAATGAACCTGCCAGGTTTGCCAAGCAGCTGCCACAGCAAGGCGTGAGCTTCTGGAGGCCTTGGCTTGGGTGCTTGTCTGGCACCCGCCAATAAGATTTTAGGGCTTTAGTGTAGAGGGTTTAGGGTTTACGGGAACAGAGGGTTTAGGGTTTACAGGATCTACGAGGGGTGATAGGGTCTAGGGCTAATAGTAGCAAGGCCACGCATTTACTTCAGGGTTGGCTGGCAAGCGCTTCAGGAAGAAGTTTAAACCCTAAACCCTCAACCCTAAACCCTAAAACCAGTTTAAGAAGTAAGAGGGGCTGCCGTCCTGCACAGGCATGCTGGTCTTTTCTAGTGCGATATGCTCAGAGCCGGCGCTTGATGAAGCTGTGCCCTCCCAGCCGATGGGAATCACAGAAGGCGTAAGGGTTTCTTTGGGAAAGTTAGTATTGAAGAATGAAATGGAAGGTGGGGTTATCAACGGGCTATATAGGGATCCAAGTATACAACTAATACCAACATTGGGTCTAAAGTCTGTAAATATTACCCGCATGGGGCTATTTGGATTTGTAGGGTGTGGATTGCTCCACTTGGTATCACCGTGCTCTCGACCTATACTTTTCTGAGTTGTTTTTTAGGAGCATCCCTGGCTTTCACAAGAAAAGTGCAGATGCCGATTTGCTAAGATCATCATATAATTCCTATAGAACCCACCTAATAATCCTGGTCCTATAATTCCTATAGTAATTCCTGTAGGCCCCCTATATATTCTCTGGTAACCACAGGTACCGGAGCTGGGCGGATGTGCATTGGCTGCGCTCCCGGCTGGGTGCGGCCTGGCAGGCAACGGGGGCGTTTGGACTTCCGGCCTGCTCGTTTTTGTCACAGCGTGCAGCGTGCTGCGCAGTGCGGAGGCTTGGGTGCAGTGGCTCCACAAGCGAGGAAAGGCGCAGTTCTCAGCACCTCTCGAATCCACACATTTGCGACCTGTTCAAGTGCGTCGCACGTCGCAGTCAGGTGGTGGCCATGCGCAGTGCCCCGCAGCTGCTGGCCGCCTGGCGCTGGCTGCGAGTCCATGCTGCTGCGCGCTCCGGGCAGAGAGGGAGGCGCGACCCGACATCCCTGCCTGCCTGCCTTCTGCATTTTGCGCCTGGCGGTGCTCAGGCCAAGCATTCCGCACGGCGTGCCCGGCGCCGACGCCGCCGCATGGTCCGGGGACTCAGTCCGTAGGAGTTGTACATACCAGATCGTGTTGGATGAATTGCTCAAATAGCTCACGTTGTGAGCTGGGAAGAATCGGAAGGAAGTGCCCATCTTGCTCTGTTGAGTGTGAGAACAAAGTCCCAGCATGTGTGTGCCTGTGGCCAGCAACAAACTTCGTTGCATTGCATAAACATTGCAAACTTCACAGGGGAAGTCATTGCGAAGACTGCGCCCCTAGGGCGGCGTTGGCGCCCCCGTGAAGCGTTCGGAACATCCAAATTGTGCAAAAGAGGGGGACCCCTTGGAGGCGAGGCATCTGCATGATGACGTGGATGACGTGGGGTGCAGGCAGCATGTGGCTTCAGAGCTGCTGTTTGGGCCCGCGCCCTTCGACATCCATCCGCACCACATGCAGGCCGGGTGAGGCATCTGCGCAGCAAAGAACCACGTAGTTGCATGAGTCCCAGTGCAAATGCTGTTGCAGGTCATGCAGGCGTCACTTCTTGCTCAGTTCAGAAGCGCGTTGCTGAAGAAAATGTTCGTTTTCTGGCTCCGAGAGGCCCTGGAGTGTACAGGTACAGCACCCGGTCAAAGGTTCGCTTGAATCTGCACCGTCCATGCTGGAGGCCGCGAGAATACGCAGTTTCTTCCGCCAAGCTGGCGAGCAGAAGCTCGCGACTTGGATGCGTGCCTGGCAGGTGGGATGCATTCATCAGCCAATCCGTTTCGCAGTGGAAGTAGCACCTGGCAAAGGATGCCTTGGAGCTCCATGTCTACAAATAGTACCTACATGGGGCTCTAAAGTCTGAAAATATTACTTACATTGGGCTATTCAGATACCTAAACCCTAAAACCCAAAAGCCTACATTACCTACGTTGGGCTACTGAGATACCTGGGGATGGTGACCTTTGGGTCTGGACAGGCCGAGGCGTCTTTCCGCCGCCACGTGCATGGAAGCCAACAGGCCGCAGCGCACCGAGCGCATGTCACGTCATGTGAGCTGTAGTCTAAACTCCTTAAAGGGGTTATATAGGGTTTAGGGTTTAGGATCTAAACCCCTTACAGCGGGTTAAATCGGGGATTACTTTGGAGAGTATTCTAGGGCTCATTCACAGGGAT